GGGTCCGTAGGTGACTGTGGAGCCCTATTCTTGACCTGCATCTTCTCCCGCAGTGAGGGCATCGGTTTCCAGGTGGAAGGCGGTCCCGGTTGGGGCTGGCTTGACGCACCTTCCTCTTGGCACATTTCTCTCTTTCGCTGTCCATTCATGCCTCTTCAAATTCTGCAGCACTGCTGGTCACAGCTGACCTTCAGCTCGAGAGCTCCTTAGGCAAGGAAGATTGTCCTCCAAGTGTGATTTCCTGGCAGTGAGTCCGTAGGCAACTATAGCGTACCTGGATTTCAGTAAGGCCTTCGACAAGCTCCCCCATGACCTTCTGGCAAGGAAACTAATCCAATGTGGGCTAGGCAAAACTACGGTGAGGTGGATTTGTAATTGGTTAAGTGGATGAACATAGAGAGTGCTCACTAATGCTTCCTCTTCATCTTGGAAAGAAGTGACAAGTGGAGTGCCGCAGGGTTCCGTCCTGGGCCCGGTCCTGTTCAACATCTTTATTAATGACTTAGATGAAGGGCTAGAAGGCATGATCATCAAGTTTGCAGACGACACCAAATTGGGAGGGATAGCCAATACTCCAGAGGACAGGAGCTGGATTCAAAACGATCTTGACAGATTAAAGAGATGGGCCAAAACTAACAAAATGAAGTTCAACAGTGACAAATGCAAGATACTCCACTTTGGCAGAAAAACGAAATGCAAAGATACAGAATGGGGGACGCCTGGCTCAAGCAGTACGTGTGAAAAAGATCTTGGAATCCTCGTGGACAACAAGTTAAACATGAGCCAACAATGTGATGTGACAGCAAAAAAAGCCAATGGGATTTTGGCCTGCATCAATAGGAGCATAGTGTCTAGATCTAGGGAAGTAATGCTACCCCTCTATTCTGCTTTGGTTAGACCACACCTGGAATATTGTGTCCAATTCTGGGCACCACAATTCAAGAGAGATATTGACAAGCTGGAATGTGTCCAGAGGAGGGCGACTAAAATGATCAAGGGTCTGGAGAACAGGCCCTATGAGGAGCGGCTTAGGGAACTGGGCATGTTTAGCCTGAAGAAGAGAAGGCTGAGAGGAGATATGATAGCCATGTATAAATATGTGAGAGGAAGCCACAGGGAGGAGGGAGCAAGCTTGTTTTCTGCTTCCTTGGAGACTAGGACGCGGAACAATGGCTTCAAACTACAAGAGAGGAGATTCCATCTGAACATTAGGAAGAACTTCCTGACTGTGAGAGCCGTTCAGCAGTGGAACTCTCTGCCCCGGAGTGTGGTGGAGGCTCCTTCTTTGGAAGCTTTTAAGCAGAGGCTGGATGGGCATTTGTCAGGGGTGATTTGGATGCAATATTCCTGCTTCTTGGCAGAGGGTTGGACTGGATGGCCCATGAGGTCTCTTCCAACTCTTTGATTCTATGATTCTATGATTGTCCTCCAAGTGTGGTTTCCTGGCGGTGAGTCCGTAGGCGACTGTGGATCTCTATTCTTGATCTGCATCTTCTCCCACAGTGAGGGCATCAGTTTCCAGGTGGAAGGCGGTCCTGATCAGGGTTGGCTTGATGCGCCTTCCTCTTGGCACGTTTCTCTCTTTCACCCTCCACCCTCCACTGACCACCTTCATTAGCATTTGAAGGCCTGGCTGAGCCTGGGGGAATTTTTTGTTGAGAGGTGTTAAGATGTGCCTGGTTGTTTCCTCTCTGCTGTTTCGCTGTTGTAATTTTAGAGTTTTTTAATACTGGTAGCCAGATGAAAATGAATTTGAATTTGATTCCCCCAGGCTCAGCCAGGCCTTCAAATGCTAATGAAGGTGGTCAGTTGAAACATTCACACCTAGCTCCAGCAGAGAAGAGCTCTTTGCCCCACCCCAGTCATTCCACAGATATATAAACCCATATTCCTAATTCCAACAGACCTCACTACCTCTGAGGATGCTTGCCATAGATGCAGGCAAAACGTCAGGAGAAAATGCCTCTAGAACATGGCCATATAGCCCGAAAAAACCCACAAGAACCTACTTTTTAATGATTGTTTGTGATATTGTTGTTGGAAACTGGCGGAGGTGAGAGGTGAGAAAACAAAATTTCTAAATAAAATAAATAAATAAATAAATAATAAACTGCTTCATAACAGAAATGGCGGAAAAAGCTTCAAAAGGGCAAAGGGACTTCCAGTTTCCTTAAAAACTTCGAAATTGCTTCAAAAAGCAAACTTCCGAATTGAATTCCAATTATGAAGATTCCAACCAAACCTAACCATGCCTACTGAACATATCTTGCCAAGAAAACCCTGTAATGTCCCCTTAGGGCCAACATCAGTTGGAAATAACTTGAAGGCACAAGAACAACAACAAGAACAATGGTACATCACTCCAAAAAAAATTAAGCCATATGTATAAAAATACATCGGATAAGTGTTGGAAATGTGGTGAAGAAGTAGAATCATAGAATCATAGAATCAAAAGTTGGAAGAGACCTCATGGGCCATCCAGTCCAACCCCCTGCCAAGAAGCAGGAATATTGCATTCAAATCACCCCTGACAGATGGCCATCCAGCCTCTGTTTAAAAGCTTCCAAAGAAGGAATCCTCCACCACACTCCGGGGCAGAGAGTTCCACTGCTGAACGGCTCTCACAGTCAGGAAGTTCTTCCTCATGTTCAGATGGAATCTCCTCTCTTGTAGTTTGAAGCCATTGTTCCATGTCCTAGTCTCCAAGGAAGCAGAAAACAAGCTTGCTCCCTCCTCCCTGTGGCTTCCTCTCACATATTTATACATGGCTATCATATCCCCTCTCAGCCTTCTCTTCTTCAGGCTAAACATGCCCAGCTCCTTAAGCCGCTCCTCATAGGGCTTGTTCTCCAGACTTTTTATCATTTTAGTCGCTCTCCTCTGGACACATTCCAGCTTGTCAATATCTCTCTTGAATTGTGGTGCCCAGAACTGGACACAATATTCCAGATGTGGTCTAACCAAAACAGAATAGAGGGGTAGCATTACTTCCCTAGATCTAGACACTATGCTCCTATTGATGCAGGCCAAAATCCCATTGGCTTTTTTTGCCGCCACATCACATTGTTGGCTCATGTTTACCTTGTTGTCCACGAGGACTCCAAGATCTTTTTCACACGTACTGCTCTCAAGGCAGGCATCGTCCCCTATTCTGTATCTTTCCATTTCGTTTTTCCTGCCAAAGTGGAGTATCTTGCATTTGTCACTGTTGAACTTCATTTTGTTAGTTTTGGCCATTCATCTCTCTAATCTGTCAAGATTGTTTTGAATCCTGCTCCTGTCCTCTGGAGTATTGGCTCTCCCTCCCAATTTGGTGTCATCTGCAAACTTGATGATCCTGCCTTCTAACCCTTCATCTAAGTCATTAATGTTGAACAGGACCGGGCCCAGGACGGAACCCTGCTTGTGGCACTCCACTTGTCACTTCTTTCCAAGATGAAGAGGAAGCATTAGTGAGCACCCTCTGGGTTCGTCCATTTGAACCAATTCCAGATCCACCTCACCGTAGTTTTGCCTAGCCCACATTGGACTGGTTTCCTTGCCAGAAGGTCATGGGGGACCTTTCGTTTTTTCCTGCCAAAGTGGAGTCTCTTGCATTTGTCCCTGTTGAACTTCATTTTGTTAGTTTTGGCCCTTCATCTCTCTAATCTGTCAAGATCGTTTTGAATCCTGCTCCTGTCCTCTGGAGTATTGGCTATCCCTCCCAATTTGGTGTCATCTGCAAACTTGATGATCCTGCCTTCTAGCCCTTCATCTAAGTCATTAATAAAGATGTTGAACAGGACCGGGCCCAGGACGGAACCCTGTGGCCCTCCACTTGTCACTTCTTTCCAAGATGAAGAGGAAGCCTTGGGGAGAATCACCCTCTGGGTTTGTCCATTTAACCAATTACAGATCCACCTCACAGTAGTTTTGCCTAGCCCACATTGGCCTAGTTTCCTTGCCAGAAGGTCATGGGGGACCTTGTCGAAGGCCTTCCTGAAATCCAGGTACGCTACATCCACGGCATTCCCCGCATCTACCCAGCTTGTAACTCTATTGAAAAAAGAGATCAGATTAGTCTGGCATGACTTGTTTTTGATAAATCCATGTTCACTATTAGCACATCCCAGTGTTCCTTTCTCTCTTCATTTGCATGACCCCACCCACTGCTTCTCCCTTATCCCTTTCCAACCCTTTCCTATGGCACACAGCAAACAGAGGCATTGATCTGCAACTGATCATACTGGAGACGTTTGGAGAGAAATCACCATGATTTATAGTTGTAGGGACTGGGATGCATAGTTCACCTGCAATCTAAGAGCACTCTGAACTGCACCAACAATAGACCTGGAACTCACTTGGCACACAGACCCACCATGGGCAATTGTCCATACTTGCAGAGTTTAGGGGTGATTACCCTGGGAGTTGTAGTTCACCCTTATCCAAAGAACAGTGAACCCAGCCAACAATGGATCTGGGCCAAACTTGCCACACAGAACCAACATGGCCAATTGTGCATACTGGCTGGGCTTGGGGGTGATTGCCCTGGGGATCTGGGAGTTGTAGTTCACCCTTATCTAGATATCACTGAACCCAGCTGCTGTCAGATCTGGACTAAACTTGACACACAGACCCAACATGGCCAACTTTAAGTAATGGCAGGGTTTGGGAAGGACTGACCCACGATTCTGGAAATTGTAGTTCACCCACAACCTTATGCATTTTCTAATGGGACCATTCATTTTTTAAAAAACCCAAAAAAGTAAGACTGTTTTCCCCTAAGAAATAGCATTACACATTACCAAACTGATATTACCAAACTTCACAAAACAAACAATGCCTTTCTCAAATAACCCGGGCAGCGCCAGGTCCCCAAGCTAGTAATAATAATAAAAATGAAATCAGTAAGCTTGGAATGCAGACATCAAGCTGACTTGACGTTTTCCTTCATAGGTACAAGTAACAATGGTTATAACTATGACACAAGGGGTAGTTTTTTTCTTTCTTTCTGCGATTCGATTTAGTTAACATCCAGGTCATAGCTCCCTAGGCAAAGTTATTCTGGCTTTTTCTTCGCAGCTCCAGAAAGTTTTGCTTGGATCTTTGTAATGACAGACTTGATCTGATCCCGGGCAATGCCAACATAATGGTCAATCTGAGTCTTGTACTTCTCCTACACAAGGGGCATGCTGAAAACCAGCAACTCGCCCAAGATAAGAAGAGTGATCCCATTGAAGATGGCCCTGACATAGGTCATCAGCCACATGGCAATGGCCAGCTTCAGCGAATCCACCAAATCTTCCACCAGGAAGAGGCGCATGATGGCTTTCAGGGTATGATTGACGTGCACCATAGCGGAGCTGACATAGTTGTGAAAAGCCTCTGAAGACAGCGCAACATCCAGATCCAGGTAAGCCTTGAATGGGTGTCCCTCTTCAGATTTCTTTATGGCCTGGATGACAGACTTGTAGACCCAGAAACTGATGGTGACTGAGAGCAGTGCCAGGATAAGGTAGGAGATAACGCTGATGATGCTGAAAGCGACCAAGGAGAGGAGCAAGATCAACATTGTACTGAAGACAAGGCCGTCTTCTTCACATCCCGCCAAAAGATCAGATCGCGCACTGTAACAGCTTCTCCTAGAGGACACGTAAGGCAAAGTAGGTGTTAACTTCTAGGCTTGGGCGGTTTCATTCGTTAATTTCATAATTTGTTATTAATTCGTATTTAAATTAGCTTACGATCCAATATTGAGCCATGCAGGAATAGTGTGAGGAGTAATTAAGATTCGAAACAATTTTTTCAATTTATTTCGTAATTATTTCGTAATTATTTCGTAATTATTTGTAATTATTTCAAAATTATTTCGTAAGTATTTCGTAATTATTTCGTAATTATTTTCGCATGTCTGGTGCAAGTTTTATAGTTGTTGTTTGTTTTATCACACCAACAGTCAACAACAGAGGGAGAGGGAAGCTTCAGAAGTTCCCCCTGTCCCATTTGGAGGCTTTTTTAGCATATTGCGCAATCGCATCCGCCATTAATGAATCGATTCGTAATTTTACGAAATTTCGTAAATTTTGAAATTTTTTAAAGGAAAATTTCGGAATTATTAAAAAAACGAAACGCAAGGGCCCCCTAAAAACAAAACGAGTTTAGAACCAAATTTTTCCGTGGTTACCCAAGCCTATTAACTACAGATAGGTTCCTCGGTGTTGTATCTTAATACTGACGAGCTGATCCAATTGTTATATGTGTTGGGTCGTGCTTTATCCTTAGCTTTCACTTTCTCTCTCATGTTCTGAAATGACCTCCAGACTCTGAAAACTTCTAATTGCATGTAAGGATCGGAAAGTATTCAATCTTGGTGATCCATATATCTGACAACAAGGATGTGCCTCTGTTTGAAATAATTCAATTTTTACCATCTTGTCCTTGAGCTGCTCAATTATTTAGCCAAGTGCTTTGAAATCAGTTGGGTTGAGTCAATAAATCCTTGATGGGTAACCATGGGAAAACAGTAGCTGAAGCATGCTTAGGAATTTGCAAAAGGGGCCATTTTGGGATGTCTTCCTCCAGATTTGGTTGAGGGAGATGGGGAAATTTAAAGACCTTTGCTGGAATTCTCTCGACATCTCCAACAATATGCATCCGTTCCCCTATAGAAAACAACGGCTGGAATTCCCTTAACAGGCATGTAGCCTTGGCTCCATTCTGTCTCCCATGCTTTTTAACATCTACATGAAACAGTTGGGTGAGGTCATCTGGAGTTTTGGAGTTGGGTGCTATCTCTACGCAGATGACACACAACTCTACTACTCTTTTCCACCCAACTCCAAGGAAACCCCTCGAGTGCTAGACAAGTGCTTGACCGCTGTGGCTGTCTGGATGAGGACGAACAGGCTGAAGATTAATCCCAACAAGACAGAGGTCCTCTTGGTCGATCGTAAACCAGACCGGGTATAGGGTGGCAACCTGTGCTGGACAGGGTTGCACTCCCCCTGAAGCCACAGGTCTGCAGTTTGGGGGTCCTCCTGGATTCTTCACTTATGTTTGAGGCTCAGGCGTCGATGGTGGCCGGGAGGGCCTTTGCACAATTAAGACTCGTGCGCCAACTGCGACCTTACCTCGGGAAGGCGGATCTGGCCAAGGTGGTCCACGCCTTAGTCACCTCTAGACTGGATTACTGCAATGCACTCTACGTGGGGCTGCCCTTGAAAACGGCCCGGAAATTTCAGATGATCCAACGGGTGGCAGCCAGGTTGTTAATTATTTATTTATTTATTTATTTATTTATTTACTGTATTTGTAGACCGCCGTTCTCAGCCCTAGGGCGACTCACGGCGGTGTACAACATATAAAAAAAACACAGTTTACAATAAGGCAATATCACAACAATAATATCAACATGACTATCAATAATACAATTACACTAAATCATCCGCGCCGTCTCATCGTAGAATCATAGACCAATCTCGTTATCCATATTCCGTTCCAATCATCATTGCCAATTGTTGTAGCACTTAGTCAAACGCCTTAACTGGGGCTCCTTACAGGGAGCGGTCATCCATCCTGTTCAAGGAGCTCCACTGGCTGCCATTCATCTACCGGACCCAATTCAAGGTGCAGGTTCTTACCTACAAAGCCCTGAATGGTTTGGGACCCACCTACCTGCGTGACTGCATCTCTGTATACGAACCCACACGATCCCTTCGATCATCCGGAGAGGCCCTGCTCATGCTCCCACCTGCATCGCAAGCGCGATTGGTGGGGACGAGAGAGAGGGCCTTTTCGGTGGTGGCCCCTCGACTCTGGAACTCACTCCCTAAAGACATCAGACAGGCCCCAACTCTGGCAGTCTTCAGGAGGAGCTTGAAGACGTGGCTGTTCCAGTGTGCCTTCCCGGAATAATGATCCCATAGAACTTTGTCCTCCAAAGCACTTTACATTTCTTTAGGTCTGCTCATATGCCCTTACACAAACACAGGCATCACCTTTCGCCCATGTCCCAGAAATATTTCCAATTTTAACTCTACATTTGGCCTTCCCACTGTTTTTAATTGTGTGTTGTCTTATTGATAATGTTGTATATTTTATTGTCTATGTTTTTATTTTATTATTGCTTGTATTGTTGTGTTTGGGCTCGGCCTCATGTAAGCCGCACCGAGTCCTTTAGGGAGATGGTAGTGGGGTACAAATAAAGTGTTATTATTATTATTATTATTATTATTATTATTATTATTATTATTATTATTATTATTATATTAGAAACCAACATTTTCTCAGTACTTTATTTTCCAGATCACCAGACTGGGCCACAGCAAAGCGTGTCAGGGGACTGCTAGTGTACTATGATTTTACATTGTGTTACTGATATTGTGGCATCGAATTGCTGCCTGTGTTAGCTGCCCTGAGTCCCCCCATCGGCGGTCAGAAAGGGGGGGGGGTAGAACTTGTGTAAATAATAATAATAATAAATTGCCAGTTTTCATCTCTGCTGAGTAAAGAGTAAAGATTTTTCTGTTCACTTTTACTCCAGTCTGTGAGTCTTTTGCATTTGGACTTTGGGCGCTGGGATGCTAGGCAAAACGTCGCTGCGTAACAATATTGACAGATTTTAATGCATCCCGGGATCAAACACAATGTTGTGGCTAAGATGTTCTCTGATGTTGAGGATGATGGGATTCAGATTCCCGGCTCTTTTTCTGTGCCTCAGATCTCTGGGCCTGCTTCTAGGTCTTTTTCTGAGGCTCCCACAGACAGTGCAGAGTCAACACAGCGGTTCTCAGAAGAAAATAATTTTAACGAAGTGTTGCAATCCAGAGCAGGGAACGAGGCCCTCAGATAACTATCCACCACACTTGGCTGTGAAAAACAATCCTTTTTTATTGAAGAAAAATGGTTACAAAATAAAGGAAAAATGCAAGTCAAAAGCCACAGCAAAATCAGCAAACATGAATTTAAATGGACAAAGCAAAACCAAAAGCCTCACTGGGAAATACTGGAATCTGTTAGCAATCCACTAACCGTACTTGATATCCTAGAAATCTTTCCAAACTATGGCCAGGGAACCGGGAGAACTGCCAAGGTCTTCATCAATTCTGAAACGATGCCTGAACTGAGGCAATCAGCCTGGCGTATTGCAATTAAAACTCAAGAATCGGTTCCGTGAACCGCCCTTCTGTTTTGAAGCCAATGTTTTTAATTCTTGAATTCGGGAGGATCGACGCAAACTGAGTGTTTTACTTCTGTCTTCCCAAATTTGGCCCCTTCTGTTGTCATTACAGTTAACAGGTGCAGAAGGGAGGGAAAGTTCAAGGTCTCCCTCTGAAACATTCTCATGAACACTGGTACTTTCATTTTCCAAATCTACAGAAGTTCCTTCCTCACTAATTTCAGGAACATTGGCATTTTCCAAACCTACAGCAGTTTCTTCCTCACTAATTTCAGGAGCATTGGCATCAAAAGGTACATTTCCACTAGCATCAGTAAATATACTTTCATTAGCATCAGGAGGAACAAACAGAGAATCAGGTTCAAGTTCAAACTCAGGCTGAACCCCAACACGAAGTAGATAGCGAACAGGTGGAGAGGCCTTTGCCTCCTTCCCACGCTGATAGTGAAAGTGCAGAAAGCCTTGATAGTGACCTGACCCGGCAAGCCCGTCTTGATTTGCGGGTCAGGCGGAATTCTCGCCTGGCCGGCAGACGAGAAGCCAGCTCGGGGAAAGGTCATCGCAATGCTTTCATGTTGGTGAGAGCATAATGTTTTCATGTTAGAAAGGTATTTAGGCTTCTTGCAAATGAAGAGAAAGCATCAGTTCAATGTAACTTGTTAGCTTGAAAGCTTTATGGAATAACCTTAGCTGGAAAGCAGTATGCTTGGGATTTCTTGCTTTGTTTTACTGCTTGTACCATGGACTCTGTTTTGAACTTTGCCTATAGGATTGTGCCTCTTGTTTTTAGCTGAAGATCTTTGGAACTATATTCTGCATTTAACCTAAATCTTTGAAACTTTACAATGCTTATTCTTTATTTTGACATGGACTTTTTCCTCAATAAACTATAAAACTACAGCTCTTGTGTGGTGGTGTTTGGAAGCAAGGCGAAGCTTACTCTGAGTTGCAACACACAACTGTTTGTTAACCAAGTGAGAATCCTCCATCTCCATAACCATGGATGAACACACATTTCTTTCCTTGTCACATCTTCTGCTCCGATCATTGAATAGAAAACACAAGCACCTCTTTTATGAGGTCATATGTCTCAGACTTTATGGCAAAGGATAGGGACGTCTTTTTGCCTTCTTAAACTTGACCTCTGGGAAAATAGATCTCTTAATGAGACCCTGAAGCTTGGAGCGCACTGACTAGCAATGTGATTGCGACACCGGAGACACAGAGCAAGGTTGTCGCCTGTTTTATTCCGCACGCTTTGCTCAAAGGTCAGGCGATGATCACAGCCATTTGTGCCCTGTCACCCCAAAAGATGTCCTTGTGATCGAACAGCCCGCAATGAAATCTGCGAAAGAATCAGATCAACTATGACTCATGCACCCTAATGCTTCTTGGGACGATAAGGAATTAGAGCGTCTGTCCTGTTTTTAATTCAATAGTCTGCAGGCAATTAAGTCTTGCAGC